AGCAGGCTCTGACGCAGCAGGCTCTGACGCAGCAGGCTCTGACGCAGCAGGCTCTGACGCGGCGGGCTCTGACGCGGCGGGCTCTGAGTGGTAACTCCAAAAAAAGGCGGATCGAAAAAACAGGTTTCGGACGGTGCGGGCGACGCGCCGTTAGTGGTGAAGGCGGACCCGCGAGGGAAACCTGAGTCGAGGCCGCGTCCGGTGAAGGAGGCGGTACCGACACCGAGCGCGTTGGATCGTCGATTATCGGGAGGTTTGGACGACTTGAAGGATAAGGGTTTTGTAAAGCCGGATGCCTTGTCAGAGTTGGAGCGGGAGGGTAGTAATGGGGAGTACGGTGGTGCCCCCCGTAGTGAGCGTCACTTGGACACGACGGCTTCGGAGCAGGCGATTTTAGATCGGATTGCGACGGAGATTGCGGCGGGCGGAGACACTGTTTCCGATCACCGGAGTGTTACAGAACATGAATTTGAAGGAGCTTCCCTAGCGCCCCAGCAGATCGAATTGAGTGCTGGAGATATTTTGCGGGATGCGTTATTGCTCAAACATGTACCCGAAGAGGTGTTGGAGGAAAAGTTGGTGGCGGTCGGTACCGTGCAGCGATTCGCACCTGGTGAGACCTTTGTGTACATGCAAGATGCGTTGGACGTGGTCTACTGGTTGGGTGATGGTGCAGTCGTGGGTGTGCATACCGCCACCGTCGTCAACCAGATCCGCACCGGGTACTGCTTCCCGCCTTACAAAAAGTTCATGGCCGCCCGCACTGGATCTGTGACCTCCGATATCGAATTAATTCCGCTCACCGACGTGCAGGTCTGCATCTGCCCTCTCTCAGCTGTACGAGATTTTATGGAAAAGTACGCACCGCCACAAGATGTCCTCGACGCCATGTCCGACGAAGAAGGTCCACCACCCGACCTTAGTCAACAGGAAAGCTTCAAAACCTCCTCCAGCCTCGGCGCTGGCTCCTCTCCCGGTCTCCTGCCCCTCCGTAGCGGCTCCTCACTCAGCCGCAGCATGAGTATGCACAGCAGCGTCACCTCCTCCCCCCGCAGTCCCGCCACATCGGAACGGCTGGGAGACCGCCACACAAACCAAGGTTCTCCCAGGTCCCCCAAGTCAACCGAGTCTCCGATGTCGTCACCCCGGTCTCCGAGGACCCCGTCGTCACATTCATCCCCGTCATCTTCGTCGTCTTCGAGCCAAGAGGCGGTGGCCAAGGTCGTGGCCAAGGCGGGTCGTGGCCAAGGCGGACGGGGCCGCCAGGGGACGGTGGTGGGGAAGATGGCGCTGAAGATGGCGTCTGAGCTCGCGCCGCGGGACAAGTCCGCAGACAAATCAGCGGACAAGTCCGGGACAGACAGGTCGACTGAGAAGTCGGCAGACAAGGACGGGGATCGAACCGCGGACCGTCAGTTTACGACTAGCAGCCGGACGTCAAGCCGTCTGTCCACTGGGTCAAGTATGCGGAGCGAACATGTGGCGGAGATCCAGCAGGCATTGGCGACGGTGAAAGGACGCCGTGGACGGCAGGGGACGATTGTGGGCAAGATGGCGTTGAAGCTGGCAGCGGAGTTGGAGCCGGAGGGTGAGGGTGGAGGGGAATCCGGAGGTCGTCGGGGGCGGCAAGGGACGGTGGTGGGAGGTTTGATAAAGAAGGAAAAGCCGAAGACCGAGCGATTATCGGAGGACGACTCAAGACTGAAGGCGTTGGACGTTGTGACCCGAGAAAAGTGGGCGCGAGAAGAAGTGGCGGAACGGCGATTGACAGCGGAGGAGTTGGAGAACACGATGATTGAGGTGGAGAATGTGCGGGTACCGTTTGACAAAATTCCGGAGGCGAAATTGGAGACGTTACGGGACCTGAAAGAGTTAGAATTGGATGACGAGTTTGAGAATGTAGCGGGGATTGTGAAGGAGGACCATCGCGTGTACGCCGAAGAAGTGGCCAGACTGAACGAGTACATCCGGCAGTGTGACGTGTTGGGTACTTTGTCGCCAGTGCAGATCCATTACTTTGTGTCTTGTTTGACGCGAATAGAACTACGGTCGGGAGAGTCGCTATTCGAGGAGGGAACTCCAGTCCGGGAAGGTAGTGTGTGGTTCAGTGTGAGCGGAGGTTGTTCGTGTTTGCCTCGTGAAGTGGCAGCGGACTTGGGTGCCGAGAAGCGCTGTATTGTGGGTTTCAATGAGTGCCAGAAACTTGCTGAGACCATGGATCCAGAGTTAAGTTATGATAGGACCGTCGAGGCTACTTCAGATATGGTCGCATGGACATTATCGGCAGCGGATTTTGTCGAGCGGATGTGGCCCATGTTAGTTGCACGTCGAGCCAGGGTGGACAACATTGTGAAAGCGCTGGCTTACTTCCCTGTCTGGAGTGCGCTCTCGCGCATCGATCGATTTAACCTCGCCGTCAGACTGAGAGCCGAGTGCTACGATCACATCGGCCTCGTACTTCAGCGCCAGTACCTACGACTAAGTCATGTCTATTTGATAGTCGAAGGAGTGGTCGTCTGCGTCTTCCAAACACCCACCAATGAGCAGGCCACACAATTCCGGTACCCTGGCGACTTCCTCTGCGTTCCTCAGACCAACAACCAGGATGAACTATCACCCTTCTCCATATACACCGTTACCTCCACCAAACTACTCAGCTGCGCTACTACCGCACTCTTCGAACCACCCTTCGACGCTCTCACGCCCGCACTTATCAAGTATCAAAAGTCACTCATCATCGCCAAATTCCCCGAATCACTACAACCACACGTAGAGTCTGCCACCAGACGCGAGTCCCTCCTACCACAGGCCGACAGCGGCAGCGACGAGACTGTCGTACACGAACCCACCGCTACTGCCGCACCAAGAGTCAGCATACTCAGAAACCTCGATCAACTCAACACCAGCAAACTCGACGCGGGCATACTCAAACTCAACAAGAGAATAAGCTTCACCAAAGCTGTCCTTTCCAGGTCCGATAACAGCAATGAACTTGACACCCAAATGAGATAACCCTTACATGAGATAACCCTTACATGAGATAACCCTTACTGAGGGAACCCTCACGCATCTTGTCTCCCGGCTTGCTTGCTCTTTCGGACACATTATTCCCCAATGGCTTACTGACTGGCTACTGCCTATTCTTCGTACTACTAAAGCGTTCTTGCCTATTGAGAAAGCGTTCTTACATGTTGCACGTTACTGGCTCATCTGCGTTCGTGACTATTGTGCATTCTTGACTACGGAGCATTCTTACATGGAAAAAACATAACAGCACACACGTGTGCTACCATGGATCCTGGCATATTAAAGGGCCTCCGCGGTTCACCGGGACCAGATTTAGATCATGCATGTGCGCGTTGCCTGAAAGATAGCGTCAAGGGTGCATCGACGGCTGCTGCGCAGCCGTTACTGGCTCGATTAGCACACTTGAACGATGAGGTCCTCATACGGAGCCTGATTCAAAGGGTTCTAACAAACTCTGAGCTACCGACCGAGCAGTTTATCCATATGATTCTCAACAATATCAGAAAAGATGTCCAAAATCCTGTGGCCGATGCTGCCAAAGTGTTCGGGGTGATGTACTTAGTAAGTCTCTCTCTCCCTTGGACCATGTTTATCGGCCATCCGTAAAGTAAAGAGCAGCTTTATAGAGATCATGAAGGCGAATATAACTTTCACAAGGACTTTACAGTTTTTATCCGGTTATTGGCTTGCGATGCTGGCCATTACCCGGGGGCATTTCTGGACACCGACCCCCTGATCAAAGCTAGAGGTGTGTATCGGGCTCTTTGGGGACTTGACGACAGTCTGTGGTGTCCAGAAAGTGGAGGAGTTGCTCAATCAGTATTAGTAGATCAAGAACAGGGATTAGTTAAACAAGGAGGAGGAGTTGGACAAGGAGGAGGAGTTGGACAAGGAGGAGTTGGACAAGGAGGAGTTGGACAAGGAGGAGTTGGACAAGGAGGAGTTGGACAAGGAGGAGTTGGACAAGAGGACTATAATCAAGAAGAAAAGGTGCCTTCACGTTCAGTCATTGCTCAGGTGATTAATGCAGCGTTGTCGATTGATGTCCAAGCAATCGACTTTGAGGCAGCTCTATGGTTGACTAAGGTGCTCGGACAACACCGATTTGAGCGCATGATCTTGTTAGCTAATTGGCAGCGCATTCAATTGTTTCGTGGTTTAGAAAGTGTGTGCGATGTCGTAACACTCGTTTCTTGTCAAGGTATCTGCAGGCTGTTCGCATCGAACTTATCTTTCAATGAGTTTTGTCAAGTGATAACCTGTATTGCGAAAATCCTTACACAATATGAGAGCGACCGTCAGGAGTGGATTCTCGCGTATAGCTGTCTTACGTGTCTTCTCAGGGACACAGATTTGATAAACTTATACGGACTAATGTGTCTGGACTACATACTTTCCGGAATGGAGATTAGTGAAAGAGAAGCCGACTCGAACAGGGAATGTGGTCTAGAATGCAGTCCGAAATTTATGAATGATACCTTAAACGCTGTGTGCTCCTTCATGTATCTTGAAGGCGAGGTTTCTGTATTTTGGCGAGCCTTGACATTCAGATCAAACCTCGCGACAACCAAGGTTGCAGTCATGGAAAAC